TATCCTCAAAAAGAAAGAGATAAAGCAATCCTTTTACTTGCAAGAGTCATAACTGCCAGCTGAAAATGTGAATTTTGATTTTCATATTCTGCTCTTTTGAAGGCAGATTTCCAGGTACAACACTCCATGGTTAGTAATAAATGGGCTGTACATAAATTATGCATTCAGAAAAAATGAAAGACAAAAGCACCCAGCATCTCTTTAGCTGGTTAGAGGAAACAGTTTCACTGTCTGACATTGAAGACAAGACAGTCAATGTAATTTCATAGAATCACAAGCAGCCACATTCTCACTCCACCCTGTCTTTCAGACTCTTTTGTTCTCTACAGGGGAAAATCACAGAGAATGAGAAATAACTGTGCAGCGACATCCATTTTGCAGTGGAGAATAATCCTTCCTCATCCATAAACCTTGTCTGAATCCCCCCCTCTTTGTCTTGGATTTTTTTTCTATAATTATTTTCTTTTGTGAAATGAGAACAAATCTAAAAAAGGTTCCAAACTGCAAAAATCACTACTGCATTCCACTTATTCTGGCTGCTGTAACAAAACACCACAGGCTGGGCAGTACATAAGGAACAAGCAGTGATTTTTTCACAGTTCTGTAGTCTGGGAAATCAGGGATCAATGTATGGAGACTTTTATTGTTTACCGAGGACCCAGACTCTGCTTCCAAGACAGAGTCTTGCATGCTGTGTGCTATCCTCAGGTAGGAGGGAGCCCAATATATTCATATGGCGGAAAACTGAAGGCAAAGGTCCAGACTACTTCAAACTGGCCTTAGAAGGATGTATGACCCCAGGCAGGAGGGATCTGCTGTGGCTTAGTCACCACCTGAAGGCCCCCAGCACTGTGGTCAGGTCTGTTAGGTTTCAGTACTTGGATTTTGAAAAGTACCCAGGGAAAACAGAACAGTAAGATACTAAGGAACACTAATGAAAGTGCACATCTTTGAAAACTGACAAATTCATTATATAGATATCATGAAACCTCCAAATGGTATATTATATGAATGTGTGGATACCTTTAAAAGGAGATGCAGCATTGAGATGGATGAAAGTCATCCCATGGATAGTTATCTCTTTATTTTTAACCTCCAGTTAAATAGATATCTAGTAGATCAAGGAGAGACACAAAAAGCTATTTCCTCAGCTGAAATTGTTTTTTCCCTCCCTCCCTCCCTCCCTCCCTCCCTCCCTCTCTTCTTTCCATTTCCCCTTCTCTCCCTTCCCCCCCTCCTTAGTCTCAGCATTGACTGAACCCAAGATGGCAGGGGTAGAGCACATTTTGTTCATTACTTTAAAACAGTTTCTAAAGTTGGAAAAGATCATTGGAGGATGTTGTGTGAACTTTTTCACTAAAGGCAGGACACCAAGGACAGGAAATAAAGCATTCCACCCAAGTGTAACTTGGTGAAACAATGACTTTAATTGGAATCAAAGCAATGAGCCATCTCCACAGCTCTTCAAATAAAGAAAAGTCTTAGGTACCAATTAAATTTAGCTAATCTTTGTTTTTTAAATTACTTGTCTAACACACAATTATCATAATTATTGATGTCTCCATTTTTATTAGTGACTTTATTAGTATCTACCATACATTGTGATCAAACCATGACTGTTATTTGTTAAATTCAATTTTGGTTGTTTAGGTGCCCACTAAGGGAAAACAAAAATTCTCTGAAGTTTACATGGACAACTCTTTTTATGAATAATGTCAATCTTTTAAATTGTTAATTTCCAGAAGTTCTAAAATAGACAGGTCTATTTGGATGTGAGAAGAGAAAACTAAGAGCTACTGTGTTGTCCCCAAATTTATTGTGCTGGGAACATCTTTGTTAAGTTGTCATTAGAAGAATATTTACTAATTATTCTTTTTCTAACCATGTGTCAATGAAAATAGTAAATGCTTTAAATCTGTTAACAGATTATATCTTTACCCCATTAACAAGAGGTTAAGTTACAACAATACTAGGGATAAACGCTCATGTTAAGGCTGGACAAGGCAATCCAGGCAAGGAAGTGTCCCAAGAACAGGCAAAAGAGTCAGAGACACCAACAACTCCTGCTTTTAGGAGTCCCACAAGACCGCAAAGCTACACAACCACAGCATGTAGGACTTATTGCAGACCCAGAGAGGCTTTGTGATTGCCACTTCAGTGTGTCTGTGAACCCCTATGATCCCTGCTTAGTTGATTCTGTGGCCATGTTCTCCTGGGGTCCTTGAACCCTCTGACTCCTACAATCCTTCCTCCCTCTCTTCAGCAGGATTCCCTGAACTCTTCTTAATGTTTGGCTGTGGGTGTCTCCATTTGTTCCCATCTACTACCAGAGGAAGCCTCTCTGGTGATGATTGGGCTAGGCTGATGAGTATATGAGTATAATAGAATATAGGAATCATTTCTGACAGTTGTGTTTGGTTTTATCATAGGTCTGGGCTATCCAGCCTAATGGATTAGGCATTGGCCCCCTAAAAATATTTTTAAACTCTTGGGTTTTGTTACTAATTTCAAATGAGAATACAAAATATGAATGTGCATTAGAAAGTAATAATGCACAATGTTCATATTTACAAAATGCTTACAAATTTACATATTTAAACTGCTATTTAGTTGAATTTTATTGTTGATTGAATTTTTAAAAAACATCTACATGCATTGTTCACAGATTTTTAACCTTTTGGTGGATGAATAGAAAATGTGAGCTTATAAAACATGGAAAATGTTTATGTTAATCATTTTTATTGGCTGGTTTTCTCTGTGGACCATGTGAAAGTAAAAGTAGTCTAAAGTAGAGGTCCAAAGAGGAAAGAGGGGAGCTGGTAAACTCTACTGACATTAACTTCCTAGGAATTTTAGCATACTGTTTGCCCATACAGGTTCCATTAAAGTTAATGGGAGTTGTGTGACTAATTCTCTCTGTAGAGTACTAAAAATGTACCCTGCAGTATTAAAAAGTCTGAACTTAATTTTTGCTTTCTCTTAACCTTGATTATGTTATACTAAAGATAGATACTTTCATTATCATGCACATATATAGTAAATTTAATATAAAGGTTTAAAAATAATTTATTTGGGGGAGAGGCTGCAGTTATATGGGTCAGAACAGAATTTTAATTCATGTTGTACATAAGAGTTCTGCTTTCATTATAATGATAAAACAAGCATGCACATCTGTAATTCACCCTCTAGCTATACAAATGAGAGCTTAAACCTCAATGAATTCAATAAATGAACATTTTCAGAACACTTATTTAAAATTAGGTCTACTTTTTAATCAGTCATGTTTTAAGTGAAAGCTTATTAATAGGTCATTAATAAAACATGCTTATGGAATGAGGTTTCAAGTAAGAGGTAAGATGAATGAAATATAACAAAAATGAAACAAACCTAATGGATAATGTTTAATTTTATTTTAAATACTTTATATTAAATTGCATATTTATTTCAGATTAAAAATGAATTTCTAGTAATTTTCAAGTGTACATTGAGTTAAAATACCATAGATAATATCAGCTATGAATTCATGATCCTTTTATAATGCCAAGTTTCTTCTGCTTTTGACACTCAAATTGAACTCTTAATGTCATTTTTTTTCTTTAAGTAATTTCTGCCTGGCTTCTATCCCTACCCAGGGAAATAAAGTTATAAGAGTTTAAGAATGAAAAAGGAAAGAAAAATTATATCCATGAATAAATACCCTATTATCCATTTTTCCCTGAAACCTGCAGATACATTACAAAGTAAGGGAGACACAGAAGCGATGTCCTAAGCACAAAGTCCATGACAAGGAAGCAAATGACCCTGCAGAACTGTGCATCAATAAAGCAGAACATTCTGAAAGTCTAGAACTTGGCTTAACTAACTTTCCAGAATACAGAACTTTCTCCCAGCTGAACATAAACTGCGGCTAAGACTGATCTTTTTATGTTATACATTCATCATCTTCTTTTGCTATTACAAGACTCTCTGTGTCTAAATCATAATGGAATCTTGAGTAAGGGTGGGGCTCGGGTAAAGTTACAAACCATTTCACAGTTCTAATTGATTGAATCTGAGATCATACACTTAGCTATTGAACTTCAACACATTCTTAAAGCAATTCCACTCAAGATTCCATCATGTAGAATTCACTTTGAAGCTTGCAATATTTCAGTTTTGAGCTGAAACCTACTTTCCTAATTTTCAGGTTTGCAGCTGAAAGCTATACATGTCCTGGGGGGTGTTGGACTGTCCAGACCCAGCTTCCCAGGCTGGCTTATGACACAGATCTCAAACATCCAAAGCAGATGATATATCCCTGATTATGTATAAATTTCTCTTCAGTGGAAATAGCATCTGTACATGTGGTTTCTTATTAATAACTCCAGGAGCTTGGGCTCCGTCAATGGCTAACAAAGCCACATATCTGTCAAAGGTTCAGTTGTGTGTGTGTGTGTGTGTGTGTGTGTGTGTGTTTGTAGTTTGTTCATGTGTATCAAAGCTAGAGGTTGACATAAAATATTTTCTCCAATCTTTTCTCAACTTATATTTTTGAGACAAAGTCTCTCACTTAGAGTTCACCAATTTGGCCTAGGGGCAGGATAGCAAGCCCCCCAAATCCCTCTGTCTCTGATGCCTCAGCTCTGGGATTATAAGCATGTGCCACCACACCAGGCCTTTTATGTGAGTGCTGGGGATCTGAAATTAGGTCCTTGTGCTTCTAAAGCAGCACTTTACTGCTCAGGCCATCTTAGCCTTTCGTCTTGAACTCTTGTGATTCTTGAGGTGATTTGTAGGACATCACTCTTTCCCCCTTTAAAAGGCACAATAATGTACACTTTCAGTTACAAATAATTTCTCCATATTTGTCTGCTAAGACATTGCCAGTGTACTTTGTGACTTCCTGACAGGAGAATGAATTGGGAAGCATGAACCTCAATCATTTAAGTTAACATAGCTCATGCTGTGTGTGGGTGTTTAGCATGTATTACACAGTTACGACTAACTCTATGTGTTCTCAGTTTTCAGCATGAGCTCGCATCAGGGTCCTGTCTCCACTGTGGTTATCCGTCTAAACTCCCTTCTCTTCAGGTAAGATCTGTGACTCACTTGTATTGTCTACCTATACATCAGCTTACTTCATTTTAGGAATGTTTAGATTTTCTTTCCTATGAGTCCAGGAATGTGCTCTTCCCCACGTCCCAGATTGCACAGAAGCTATCTCTCTAGGTGTGTGCTACTTTCTTTGTGACATGTCACCCTCTTTAAAACCTTTCTCCCACCTTTGTACAGCAGGAGCTCAAACCTCCCATTTCAGAATAGGCAATCTGCTTTCTGAGAGGGCTCAGACATCTATAATAGCAGCATATTGGGTTTCAAATCAAGAGATCTAATTTCCACTACAAAGCCTCTGTTAGTAGTCTTTTGTTTCAACTGTTTCTGTCCAATCTTTTGATTTCATAATCTGGTACCTGCTTAGAGATTAAATTTTTCCTATGACCCTAGAAAGCATCCATGAGCAGCTCCTGATCCTGCCGAGCATCCCTCTACACCGTGTGTTGTGAGAGTGGAAACTGGTACCCTGGCACAAAGAACTGCCTTTGCTGCCTTCTGGAAGGCAGGGGCTGCTGGGTGTGCTTTATTCAGAGCTATGTGATGATTCAGTTCACCCCAATTTGCCCTTTGGGAACTGCTGTGAAAACTTCTTTTGTACAGTAAATCATGACAGCATTTGGCCTTCATTTGGGGGTAAGTACATGGTTTATATATTAAAGCCATTTCTTTTTCCCTCTAGAAATACCATGTGGCATCAATTTGTTTGTAAGCACAAATCAAATGGCAGTTTGGGATCCTGCCGATGATCCAGAATATTCTGTATTAAGTTTTCAAAGGTTATCAGAGCAATGAAAATCTAACTTTGAAAAAATTATGAGATGACCTGAGTCCCCAAGGACACATCCATTTACCCGCAGAGACTCTCACAAGCTAGTTGGAGGAAATCTGTTCTGAGACACTATAAGATGCTAGGACATTGATGGCACAGGTCAAGAATTATTATGCTACTGAGAATACATAACTTTTCATGTGGGTACTGGCAGAGCTGAACTTTGTTGGTTTTACCTCGCCAGCTGAGATTTTTATTAATGGTCCTCACGCATAGGTGAGTGTAGGGTGTAGACTTAGAAGCAGCTGCAGCTCTGTAGCTTCACCTTTTAAAATGTGCCATAAATGAACAAACAGGGCAAAACCCCCAAGTGATTGCTCTTTGCTCTACCTCTAGACTCCTAAGGAACATCCAACAACGGCACTCTTGGTGTCTAAATTTATCCAACCAGCTATGCTTGTGGCTCCTGTGGTTGGCCTGTGGCCTGGAGCTCAGATTGCCCAGTAGTTCTTTTTCCCAAAATAGGCTGAGGAAGTTTGAGACCGTGTTTGGTTTGTTCCAAAGGGGCTGCCATATATTTAACGAGGTTGTGAACATACACTAAGATTTGTACATGGCTCATCAAATAAAATACATCTTCAACTCACTTTTCACTTCAGTGCGTGGTTTGGAGTGGGCTGTTTTACAAGCACATGTGTTTATCATATGACTTTGTTTGGGGACAAACATCATTTCTTACATTTGGGATGCAGTTTCTAAGTAGTTTAAAGCCCTGCTTCATCTGTCTGTACTCAAAAGCAAATGCTAAGTTTGGTGGTTCCTTTCCCATTTTGGGAAGGTTTCTTTGAACACCAAAGTGTCACGGTTTATTCATACATGCCATCCTAAAACAAGAGGACAAGAAAAAGCTTTCTGCACATAGAGAAGCATATAGTTTATTATTGCTTGCGGGAAAGAGCAGTCAGTGGCCTGTTATCAGTTACACATCTTTATGAGAGCAGTATGTTCCACTGGGCTGTGCCTAGGACAGGTAACCGAAAGACCATGATCTCTTTCTGTGGTTCAATTTCTGGGACATTATTGAAGTCATTTAGTTCTTAGAACATTGGCTTCTATTTTGGGACAAAACAGCTGCCCCTCACACAGCAAAGAGGTGCATTGTGACTAATACTGAGAAAGTCATAGAGTTTATTTTTCTTCTCTAAGTCTCTCATATTCTATAGAGGAAGAAAGGATAATGTCTTTTTCTAAATGAACTTTGATGAAGAGCTCAGTGACTCACCCAATACCTCCAGTTTTCCATAGACTGTAATACATGATGTTTTATGAATAAGCTGGAGTGATAAAACATCTTCCATTTGATGAGTCAGAACCAATGTGATAAATCAGGATAACCCAGGGTTTATTTCCTGTGATTGTAGGAGATAAAATTGATTTTTCCATTTCCCCACTCCTATTTCCCTCCCACTTCCTCACTGTACTCTACAGTTGCTCATGGTAAAGGAGCTAGAGAGAGGATTTGTCATAAAATTTAGGACTCCACAAACTAAACAGTGCCTCATTTGAGGACAAACAAAAGTAGGGCTGCTAATGAGAATGAAACTCGGATGCGGATCCTTTCCCACAGAGTTTGCAGCCAAAAGGGGAAACGTCTGGAATGAGCGCCGTTCAATCTCCCTGGAATGAGAAGCCTTAGCCGTAGTGCCAGCAGAAGCCCGACAATCCTCAGCATCAGTGTCTGATCTCAAGGACTGCTCTCAAGCAGTGAGCACATGTAGGGTCAAGGGTCAGGGGTTAAGAACATGGCTGGAACTGCTGGTGGGTGGGTAGCATCAGGAAGTTAGTAGCACACACAAGATTCAGTAACTCTTCTTCCTTTGCTTTTTAATATAAAGTTTTACCGTAGTCAAAAAAGAAAAAAAAATGTAAATGAAATGTAAAGACTTACTTGGCTTAGAATGATTATGCTACCAGAAGAAGATCTTCCTTTACATTTAGCTCATGTGAAGCAGTATGTATATGTAATAGTATGTATATTTCCTTTAGGTTTTTGGTGGACACATATATTTATAGACATGTTCTCATTGTTTCAGTTTCTCTGAAAGTCTGACACCATTCCAAAGTTCAGGAATGAATTCTTACAAATCAGTTTAATAAGATTAATGGCAACTTTTGAATCCATGAAAGACTTGAGGCTCAATAGTTATAATACACGGGTATAAATGAACTGTAGTGATGGATATGTGTATTAAATTAGTGAGAAGAAGAGGACCATAGTTAAGATTGCTCTGATTCTTGAAATATCATTCATTTGAAAACCTTCTGTAATAATGATGTGCACATTAGTTTCAGCTGCCTAAGGTAAAGGTGTATTTGTTTCCCACTTCTTAATGAACACATTGAGTCCATTTTCACCTTTATGCATAAAAAGGGAGGAGGTTGCTGCTACAGGAACACCAGTAGTGGATGCTAAGTTTTTCGTTTGATCTAGGGCTTAATAGACACCCTCTTTTAAATGATCTAAAACACAGTTCTGGGGGAAGTATATTTTAACACATATGCCCCCTCATTAGAAGTATTTAGGAACCCTAATTTACATTTTGAATGTTGGCTCTAAGCTAGTGTGTCTTCCTAATTTTGAAGCTCTTTGCTGATTTGCTTTTATTTTTGACAGTTTCACACATGTATTTCCTGAGTTTGGCACGTTTTCACACGCTTACCCTGTCACCCTTTCTCATTCTCATTCATATTCTTTCCCATGGAAACTGTTTTCCCAACAAGCTCGGTTCTACTCGGTGTCATTGTTTTTCCATCCACTGAGTTTAATTATGGTTGCTGGCACAAGGATGAGTGGCCGGTTAATTTCTAGAAGGTGGACAGCGTAGGAGCGGCTACATCACAGAAGAAGATGACATTCTCTCCTCCAGTTCTCATTTACCAGTCAGTGGGAGGCGGGGGTTTCACCAGTCCCTCCCTAACACATGATGAAACGGCGACAGATCCGGTCTTTGTGCAGGTCTGGAGCAGATCACCACATCTGCAGTGAGTTTATGAGTGCCATGGCCTTCTCATCTCTAGAAGACACTGTTAACCCTTCCTGATCCCTCTCCTTTTTCCTCTCCTGGCTTAAACCTTTCCATTCCTAGTATCTCCTTCCTTTCACATCCCGTGGTCCTTGTTTGCCCCCGGCTTTTTGTGTCTTTCCTCTAGTGGTCACTTTAGCTCCCGGGATTTCATAGGCACTTCATAAATTTAGACTTTTAAGAAATGATTTGAATTAGTTAAATAAATGATGCTCTTCACTTGGCCTCAAAGCAGAAGACCCTTGGCTGGACTTGTGTGTTGTCCGCTGACTCTGGGAGGCAATGGGTCATGTATTTTGACAAAGAGACCCTGACCTTAGGTGTGGCCTGTAGCTTGTTCTCAGGCTCCATTTTGAAACTAAAGTTCTGTAGAGGGGAGTATTATCACTACCTTTGACAACAAAACATAAACACAATAAAACTTTTCTTACTAGGCATCGCATCTAAACTGCAACCTGGGCCCGGAAGTGAGGAATATAACTTCGGTCTGCACTAGTGCTAAAACCACGGACAGCAGTGATGTCAAGTCTTGAGGTTACGGTGTGCATCACAAGTTTTTCACTGATGGGGATTGATGGATTGGTGGAAGCGCTGGTGACACAAGGTATTTGATTCATGATATCCATCTTCCTGTGCATTCTGTGAGCAAACAACTCTCAGGGTGAAATCCTAAAATAACAGCAAACCCTCTCAAAGACAAAAGTACAAAATAAAACACAGGACATTTAGAAAATGTGTTCTTCCCCTTTGAGCCTTATTATTAATTATAATGTAATCCCTGAGAAAGGAAACTGTCGCTTTCAGACTCTGTTGTTCAACACTCAGACTGCATTCTATCCCTGTCTGAAATGGTGATTGGATTGAATGGGGTGATGAGAGAGACAGGAGGAATTGCCAGTGATTCCCTTGCTCACCCATGAGCACTTTATCTATTTGAAGGTCAAGTTAGTTTTTCATTTATTTTAAATAAATGTATCTATTTTGTTAGATAGGGTCTCACCATATAGCCCCAGTTGGCCTGGAACTCACCATGTATATCAGGCTGATATTGAACTCACAGAGACCTGTCTCTGTCTCCTGAGTGCAGGGATTAAAGGCCTGTGCTACCATACCTTACTCAACTAGATTCTTTAGTTGAAACTAAAACTACTTCATCTTTGCATTTATGCTTTAAATAAAGTATAAGGTTGTTATTAACAGACATTAACTTTATTTCCCTTGTTGCACACTTGGTGTTTGAAAACATTTACTTAGGCTCATGAGATGGCTCAGAGCAGTGGTTCTCAACCTGTGGGTCACACCCCTTGGGGGTCACATATTGGGTATCCTGTGTTATCAGATATTTACATTATAATTCATAATAGTACAAATTGCAGTTGTGAAGTAGCAATGAAATGATTTCATGATTGGGGTCATCATAATGTAAGGAATGGCATTGAATGGTCTCAACATTAGGAAGGTTGGGAACAGTTGGCTTAGAGGGTAAAGACACTAATCACTAAACCAGACAAAAAAGAGTCTGACCCCCAAGTCTCACATGGTAAGATAACCTACTCCACACACATGCCATGGCACGTTCTTTTCTAAAATAATAAATGTAACAAACTTAAAAATTATTAATATTCAACAATAGACTATATTCTATTTACTTCAAAATTGTTTGTTCAAGGTTCACTTGTAGCAAAATTATGTGATGACAAAACCCATATCTATATCACTTGATTGCATCACAAACAAACATAATTATCATTTTATTGTAAAATAGTAGCAGTAGATATAACAGCATTCTGAAATATACTCTCACATACTATTTTGTCCATAGGTCTAGTGTTATTCTAAATATCCAAGGCTGCTATTTTGCAGATATTTTAAATATAATTAAAGAGTTTGCTCTTGTTGTTTTTGTAGAATATCAACTCTTCAGGAGTCCACAAGAGACTTAAGTCTTTCCAGAGTTTTGAGCCACTCAAAATCTTGGGTGATCAGACAATATTCCCATTCTTATAGAAAATTCCACACTGAATGGATAATGGTCAGCTTAGACATTTCTGGAGGAGATACAATGGGATTTCTGTCAGGTTAGGGTTTCTTGCTCCAAATGCTGTCTTCAAGTGGAGGGTATGAGTGGGAGTCTGAGCATCTGAACTGGAGAATGGAGCAGGTTTGGAGGAAGTGTTTCTCATGCATAAAGATTTCTGCTCTCAACATCTAACTGAATATTCACAGAGGTTGTAAACAATACTTGAGGTCCCATGTTTAGGGAACTCCCACGCAGATGGATCTGAGAATCAACTCAGAAGGAAGGGCTCCAACTAGCAACACTCAGTATGTGAGCCAGGCTGGTTAAAAAAAAAAAAGGCCTATATTCCATAACCTCACCAGCCTTGAAGGGTGTTCTGTGAAAGACATGAAGAGTTTTCAGAGTGTATGCACTCTCCTATGGGTGCGGGGTTCAGAAAGATAGTCACTTCTCTTGATGATCTTGCATGTCACTGATGTCTCAAGGTATTAAAGCTAAGCAAGCAGAAAACCATTAGAGGGCCTTGTTGGAAAACTATGTTAATGGAAAGTTGTGGATGTGGCAGTCCAAACAAATGGGCACAAGGAAAGATGCACAGTTGCTATTGATGAATTCTAATAGATGTTAACTTGTTAGTGAGGCCAACAATGCTGCTTATATTTGCCTTACATTTTCCAAACTTATTTTTACCACATAACTTATTTTTTAAATAAAGAGTAATCACAAGAGAAACCTAATACATTAGAAGATTACAATACAAAGTAATACAAGTACCACACACTAAGTATTAATCATATACTAGGAACTAACTGAAGGATACAGAGAAATAAGAGGAATCAGATCTCTTTGATTTATTTGCATGTATTATTTACTGTCAAGGACAGTAGATATTTCACGTAATAATAATAATAAACATGTATTAAGTATTGACTTCTCACTATAGGACAGGTACTGTGGAAATATTCCTCAGTCTTTATAGGATTCAGAATTTACATTCTCCATATGAAGTATATGTAATTATCATTCCCACATTATGCTTGAAAAAGTGAGACTGTGAGAATTTAAATGACCATAGTCTGCATATAGACAACTTGATTTTATTTCATCAGGAAATGACACCATGTTTACATCCAATCAGAATATAGACATTAAATTCAATCCTCTCATTTTTAAAAACTGAAAAGTAAGGTTCTTCTTTCCATTGCTGGAAAGGTTGTCACAAAAGGAGACATTAATGGTGGTTATGTAGGTAATACTACACATTCTGCTTGACTTGCTAGAAGCTGTATTATAGGGAAGTTTTCAGGTCTCAGACACATACTTGAGAGGGCTGTTATTACTCAGTCTGTATAAAAGCAAACTAAATGAGATTTGTTACTATCTGAAATAAATGGACTATATTCAAGGTATACATTACCTGAGCATGTCAAAGTTATTGGACGTTTTTTCAAATGTTGGTTTCTAATACAAAGATCATGACAATCTGTTCTATTGGATTAGGTGTTGCTTTTAGAAATAATGGTTTCCTCTGTTCATTCATATCCATTTTGAAAAGTATGAAATTACTCTGGAACTTTTCTCTCATTTATGATCATGATGGGAAATTCATTCTGGGGTTGCTGAGCATCTTGAAAGTACAGTGGGTGATTTCAATTTCAAATTCTCTCTGGTGACTGCATTGTAACTACTCAAATAAATAATAAAATGTATTAGGTTCCATTTTTTATTTTATAGTAAACATTATTTGGATATACACATATACATATATATATATACATACATACATATATATACACACACATATATATAGTGTATGTGTGTGTGTGTGTTAAGTTTACTTATTTACTATTAGTCACTTAACTAATTTGTATTTTTGAATTGTGGTTTTTCTAAATAGTCCATGTTCCCCTCACACTCAGTAGTTATCTGAGGCTGGCTTTGAACTTGTGATCCTTCCTGCTTCTCCTCCTCAGTGTTAGCTTCAGCTGCCTGTGGTCTGATGCCCAGGATAATGGTTTAAAGTGGGAGAGAATTTTGCATTACTAAAAACAATAAATATATTCTTAATTTCTCTTCATTTCTGCAAACAGAATCGGTTTCTAAGAAGATGTGGTTTCGTAATGGAGAGCTACATAATATGACCAAATTTGGGGCACACAGCAGCGTTCCACAGTTATCGCTCTTCATTTCCTGGATGTAATACATCAGAGGAAAATTCTGCAGTCCATCCTCATCGAGGGTTGATGTGATACAATGCAAGTCTTGCTTTGGTTATAAATGAAGATTAATAAAAGATAACACTGGGATGCTGTGTTCAGATATGTTATATCTGAAACTCCAGTTTCTTAAACTGTGGGTGGCAGCCTTATTTGGGGTTTCATAACTCAAAGCACAAGTCACAAAAATGTTCTCAAAAGTAAATGTTTCTAAATGCACAATGACAAGAAAATGAATGCAAAATACGACGTAAAAAAAAATCCTAGCTTTCTGGAAGTGCTCACCCACATTGCATTTTGTAAATTTATTGTGCCTTTAACTCTCAACAAATAATGTGCACTTACACTGCGCCTGTTGTCACACTGCCTACTCCTATGAGCACTGAACACCGTAGCTCGGATTGCTGAGTTATTGCACTGTTTCATTGTACATACGATGTTTTCTGCTTTCCCAGAAATATGGTGGTTTAATTATGGAAAACAAAGATCATTATTATTTTTCTGCCATCATTTCTTAGCCTGTATCAAATTAATATACCTTGCATTATCTGTGTTGGAATGTTTGATTTGAGACTGCTCTTTGAGTTACTGACTTGAGTTTCATAAAAAAAAAAATTGTTGAAGAGAATTTCATTTTTTGATTAGGACAGTCCTTCCAATAATTTCTGAGGTGGTCCTGAACATACTTCTGCCATTTCATGTTTATTCAGAGTGGTGTTCTCTACATTAAAGACTGTTGAGCAACTCTGATAAAAAAAAAATCTGCATCCTAGAGTACCACATACATAGCCAAGGTAACTTTATGCATAAATACATAAGCACATCATCTTATTAATGTATACATTTGCTTTCATTTTAAATAAATCATCAAATTACATAGATGCCAAAGAATTCTTTTTAGAAAATTCTTGGTGATTTATTGTCTGTAAATGTTTTGTGTGTATGCCTATTTTATATACCTTCATAAGCAACATTGTGTAAATGTTTGTTGGGTGAATAGGGGTCGCAAGAACAAAGTTTAAGCAGCCCTGCACTAGATCAAGGTGACACATTCCACTCTCTGTGTAGAGCTTTCTTTTATAAGCGTGTGTCATAGAAGTCCTCTCAAGTGTCATTATTGGTTGTGCTGGCTTTTATGTCTTGTTTTCTTTTGGGAGGCCTGTGTTTCCTCAGGGATGGCGCAGTTTTCTGAGGTTCTTAAGAGTATAATGGAATTGCAGCCTTGCAAAGGCCCCCATTGTCACTAGATTGCTTTACTGTTTGATGATTCTTTCTTCCTCCTCTTCATGTTGTCTAGTGCCCACATTCTGGTTCTTTCACGCACTATGCAAATAAAAGTAGTAAATGTAATTTCTATTCTTACTGGAGACCATGCACAAATAGGCTGACTAACCCTGAGAATTTGTTTACAATCATGTCCGGCCTAATGATGACCTATGCAGCCCAGTGACCATCATTCACTTACTCATTTTGGCATTGATTTTTCTTATGCCTTTTTTTTCATGGCATTTAAAAAGCTCTCACAGTTTATAGAGGAGGAATGCTGCACAATCACAGAGATACTTTGATTCCCAGATTCATTATATTGTCAAAAAGAAATCGAGTTGTCAGTATACAAAAAGCCACACCTACTTTTAACTGAAACGATTGGCTTCATGTAAATGCTATAGTGAAACCTTTTTCATGGAAATCCATTTTTAAATGTTTATGTACCTTAAGCAAAGGTTAGCAATGTTCTGTATCAAGAATATGATTTTCCCCAAACAACTTTTCTATAAAAGCTAAATTCTCAGTGAGGAAAGCATAAAATAAACATAATGTCAAGATTTCACCTTAAGACAGGAAATAATGTGTAAGATTTGAGAAAAGTACATTTGTCTACAATTGAGGTTGTTTTGAGATAAACCTATTTGTAACAAAGATCAAAATTATTTATTCATATCTTCGATATCATCCAGCCAAATGCTACTTAATGTCTTCTAATGTCTATTTCATTTTCACTCAAGTAGAGGCAGATATGCTTTCCCCTCCAAAAAAACCATGGTAACCCAATTTTCCTCTGTCTCTGCTCAGCACTTCCCCATTTTTGTGAGCTGTGATTCTTCATATTTTAGTTTAGTTTTATGAAAACTTCCAGAAATGGCATTTTAAAAATTATACTGCCCATTTAACTTCACCTCCACCAATTGTAAAAAAATTGCAAAGTGAACACTATGGGAAAACTAAAAGCAGAGTGATCACTAGATTTGGCTCTGTAAACATTAGTAATATGTGCAAAAACATCAGAGCATTTATTACATCTCCTCTGCAATATATTTTTTCCTGTCTCTGAAAATAGGCTTTATATAGTCCCATTTTTAATTTCTTAGTTGATGGAGATTGCATAATACTTTAAAAGACATTCTTATTTGAATTATTATTGCTCTAAAGTTATTTCTGAAGTCTGTCTTCCATTCTCTTTTATTCAACTGCAGATTTTGGACTGTCTTAAAAATTAAAATTTCTTATAAGTTGTCTCATATATCATTGTAGTTGATCTCAAGATTTCATCTTTCCTAAGTGTATAATTTAAATTTACAGACAACCAAGATTTCCTTTAACTCTTCCTCTTTGAAAGAATGATATGGAGGCTCTCACTTAAATATTACATCTTTCGTGTCTAAAACATTCATCAAAATGACCATGCCCTGAGTAGAGCTGTTGTTGATTTTCCTCTTTTAATCCAATCCCAAAATAGAAAGGTGAACATTGTCCATCCATTAACCCTCCCTTTTCCTCAGCCGTATCACATATTTAATCTTGTATAAATCCTAGAGTTTGTAAATCTGAAATGTAATCTGAATCCATCAATATATTTTACCCCGGTGACAGCACTCTTATTCCTTGCCTGCCTTTCCTAACCCTTTCCTTCCTTCCCACACTGCTTCTAAGTTATTTTTCACAAAGCAGCCTGAGTGTTCTTTTGAACATGGAGTCAGATCATGTCACTACCCATGTGAACTCTCACAGGGCTTTCTGATTCCACCTAAAATAAAATCCAAATTACCTGGTTTATGAAGTCTGGCTGTCATTGCAATCTCGTGTGATGTCCATTCACATTCTCCCCAGCCACCCTGGCACCCCGCTAGCACTGGACAGTGTTATAGCGCAGACATAGGGTTTTCCCTTTTCTATGAAGAATGAGCATTTTGACATCAAGTTCTTTTAACTTCTCCTCCCTTGTGTCCAATTCTCTACATTTCACAGGGCTAGATTTTCCTTCTTTGAGTCATAGCTTGAATGACCATTATTTTGGGTCTTTCCCAAAATACTAAACCAAAAGATGACCTTTCTCTGAATATATAAATCATTCTTTATAATGCCCATTCAAACATACAACTAACTTATGCAATTTAGCAATTTCTTGTTTATTAGTATGCTCTTAACAGAGTATCAGCTTCAACACAGTCGTTGGCCATTTCTCTAAGGATTGTTGCTTACTTTTAGTGAGAAGAGATTCTTAGAAACCAAGATATGGATGCTAAATAGGCACACCCTGTAGGGAGCTACTGCTCCTTTCCCTCACAATCTACCCACACACATCTCTTAACATGTCATACATTTAAACTTCTCTCTGCTGTTATTAAAAACTGTGACCTATAAGCTTGATGTGGTGGCTTACACTGATCATTCAGTACCTGGAATGTGGGGAAAGGAGGATTAGGAGCTCAAGGCCATCCTTAACTACAGAAGACCCAATCTCAAAACAGAACAAACAAACCAAAACACAGCAAAGACAATGGTTCATATTCTTCCAGAAATATATCACAGAGAGTGAAGAAATATTCTGTGTTAAAGGAAACAATGAAAATCTGTGTCTCAAGACAAAGTGTCATTCAGACAAAGATTTTTGGTTGGGAAAAAGGTAGAATTTTTATCTGTAGTGTGATAGATATGTAGTTTCAATATAGGCAGAGCTGACTCACACTGACTGTGGATTGTGGTTTAGGTAAGAACATCGAATAGATGTCAGTGTCTTCCCTATGATAGTTGTGCTGAGGTTTCTCTCTTGAGGGTTTTCTTCTCAAGAACCTAAGTCTTTGGAATAAAATGTCCTTATTATCTGTATCTACCCTATAGTGCATCTCTCTCACACACTAACCAACTCTTGCTTATCACTGAAAGAAAGAGAATAAATCATTACCAAACAGAACAAGCTACAAATAACTGAGTAACACTAAAAAGATACGGCTGCTATATGCTCTACATCTTTCTCATTTTATACACAAAGTACAAAACTTAACACAAAGTCTTTAAAATAGGCATCTTTCTCTCCATGGTCTTCCCTTGCACAGTGAACATGTAAGCTGCATTTTTTTTCTTTTTTCAAGTAAAAAGTAAGTAACTTCAATAAATAGCAAATGGTCTCTGTCCATGTTACCCTGATACAGAAGCTGAGCAGGGTTGCCTTGGTTGGTACTTGGGAGACACAACCTTGTGTACCGTGTGCAGAGGCAGACATTTTGCAAAGCACTGATGGTATCAATGTTCCTTTCCCTTTCATAAATTTTATAACTACATTATCTCATCACTATTAGTCCACTAGGTGCAAAGCTGCACAGTAGAAAATTATGGCTTAGGATATTTTTTTCCATCCTAAACGAGTTATATTTGCCTCAAGCAAGTTTCAAGATGATTGTAGTCAAGTGAGTTAGCAAATTCTTAAGCTATCATCATTCTTGCCCAACCATTTTCTGTTATCTTGTCTCCAATTACTTCATCCATATGATTGCAAAGCTAAGATTTCTATGGACTATCTGTATCGAAGGATCAGGGCATGGAATGATAAACCTCTTAACATAAACTTAATTCTGATTCTTTCCCCAGATTAAAGTATCTTAGCAACCTGTGAAGTGTGCTATCTGCTGATCCTGTGCTTCTGAGCCCTTTGGTGACCCCTTGAACTGACCTTATACCTGTGTGTTTTCCTTTTGTTGGCTTTGTTGGTCAGGGTTACATAAAATGAGATGAGCAAACATATAGTGGTGTGATGACACATACTTAAGTGTGCTTGGCCTTTAACAGCAAAATTGGCTGATTATAAACTTATAGACCGATTTCTTTATTCCTGTGCTTTGTCTCCTGGGAATTCCAGGGCTTGCTTGGCTACATGGGGGGTGGAGCTGAGCAATATGAGTTTGCTTTTAGCTAGATGAGGTTTAAGATGAAAGAAGAGCCAAAGGGGTCTTGGCCAGTGACACAAAGGCTCTGGTTTCCTTGACATGACCATTGTTTCTGTTGCTTTCAGGATGGATGACTAATCTAAAGACAACATCAGACAATTAGAAAAAAAAGATAAAAATCAAAGCACCACTCTCCATCCAATCGAGAAATAAACTTTTACCCGTTTCAAACCCTTTCTTTACTTTGGTTTTGTGTGATGGGCTACTGCATCTCAGTCTCTTTGCTTGAATCCTCCTCATCTTCTTGACTAAATGGGCTGCTGCAGGTTCAGTCCTTAAAACTATGCTTTTTCATTGATTCACTGGAGCTGAATGTCTTCCTATGGCCAGAAATATTATCTATTTTTATTATGGTTGTTTATTATTATCATGCTGTGGGCATGCTAATACACTACAGC